ATACATCATAGAAGTCACTTGTATGTATAAATTGCATTTTCTATGTATTTTTCTATGTATAAGAATCCGGACGAAAAAAAGCATAATTTCCCTGACCCAACAGCCAGATGTGCAACACGAAAACTTGAATTTTGGCCAAAAGATCAAGTTAAAGTGGGGTTATTTCCGAATTTCCGAACATTTACATTTAGTCATTTAGCAGACGCTTTTATCCACAGCGATTTACAAATGAGGACAATGGAAGCAATCAAAATCAACAAAAGAGCAATGATATGCAAGTGCTATAGCAAGTCTCAGTTAGCTTAACGCAGTACACATAGCAAGTTTTTTTTTTAATTATATAATAAATAAAAAGAAAACATAACAGGAAAATAATAGATCAAGCTAGTGTTAGAGGCCTTTTTTGCTTTTGTTAATTGTATAATACATAAAAAGAAAAGGAATAGACAGAATAGAAAAAGAATAGAGAAGCTAGTGTTATTTTTTTTAAGAAAACAAGCAGTTAGTAAATGAATAGAGTGCAAGTCTAAAAGTCTATGTATTTTTTAAATATATACTGTATGTGTGTGTCTTTATATATACGTAGTAAATATACACAGTACACACACATGTATTATATAAAATACACATTTTATTTTGGATGCGATTAATATTTTTATTTAAAACCGATAAAACTGGCCTATTTATTATTTCTTTTCTTAATCTTATTGCAAGCAAATTTTGTATTTATGCGTGCAAATATATATTATATTATATTATATTATATTTAAAAATGTATATTTAATATAATCAAAAAAAAATTTAATATTTTTTAAAATTATATATTTTTTATTTAAAACCAATTTATTTTAAAAACCACTGACCTATTTATTATTTATTTTCTTAATCTTATTGCAATCTTATTTCTTAAACTTATTGTATGTGTAGCAGTGTGCAATAATTAATATTTTAAATATCATGCTACACATTGATGTTTATTCAACATTGTTCATTCAGCGAGCGACATCCAGTTATCTACGTTATCGTCTTGGAATTCAATATTTATATATTATTATGTTTTATATTTTTTTCCACTGTGATGCAGATGACGGGCTGCACTCTGAAGTGAAGTCTTTAGCCTACATGCTATCACATTCCTCAGCTGGCTGAGCGTTTGCATCACTGTACTCAGGAGAATGACCTCAGGAGTGTTTGAGGCTAAATGTTGTGTGCCTAGACATTGAACTAAACTTTAGTTTGCTAATGACATAATTCTGAGTCATATTTTTGTTTCATAGGTATTCTGACCACAGGCTTGACCATTGCAGGCTTCGGATATTTTGTAAAAAACTACAAGATCGAGTACAAAGAGAGCAGTCGCTGGCGAACATTTGTCCAGTATAATAACTCTGATGATATGGTAAGACGTTCTTTATATCACTGCATAATCATGTTCAACACAACCCAGAAATGGCACATAGCGTCCACTATATGGAGTATTTTGGAGTAAAATAAAATAATGTAATAATATTAATGATATTATAGTATTGTAATTTTAAATATATATATATATATATATAGAGAGAGAGAGAGAGAGAGAGAGAGTTATTATTAATATATATATTTTAAAACATTAGAATTTCGCCACTTGATGACTTAAATATGAAACATAATGAGAACATAATGACAAAAATGTAGCATACTACTATCTGAATTGTTTATTTGTTGCTTAATTTTCCCCGTACTATTTAAAAAATACAGTATGCAGTATGGATGCACAGAATGGATGGAACAAAAGAGAATCAAAATTCCAAAAAGATGCTTTTTTGCATTCGCAGATGCACACATTTTGTCTTTAGGGCCCTGTGAGCTAACACATCAATCTCATCTCCTCCTGTTCTGTCTTTCTCAGAATCTCTTTAACATGTACATAGTTCCCCTCTGTTGAACACACACTTTGAGAGAGATTATCAAGATGAATGACAGTGTTAGGAGCCGCATTCAGAGCAGACCCCCATCTGACAGCTTTATTTGGGAGACTCTAAATATTTGTGGCTGTTCTACTGCTGTGTTAGCATTTCAGTCCATTTGGTCGGTCAGATGCCTGCCACGAAAAAACGACAACCTTTTCTCTTCACACTCTTCCCAGCTAATATCTGCTGTTCAAATATGTCCAGTGTGAACTTGTAACCTCTGGAAGTTCCCAACAAGCTGGCTCATCTGCAAACACGCGCATATATTTCTCAGGGTAAGCGAGGTTACATTCTCTCGCCAACCTCTCGGTTTATTGATTTGTTGAGAGTTTTACTTTTCCTCTTTCACACTCACACATTTTTTGGCTGTTACTGTTACAGAAAACAGGACACGTCGAAATGGATGGATTTCCTTTTCACCGGAACAATTTACACCCCCTTTATCACTTAGTCATGCAAACAGAACGAGAGCGAGTCGATTCTAAAGTCGTATCAGATTTGTTTTGACAGATGGCTACTGTTAATGTCATTAAACTGCTGCTTTTGGGTTTGCTTATGGTTAAGAGATTTGAACAGACTGTGCTGTGGACATGAATGACACTTCAGATTATGTGATTTATGGAGGAGAGATGTGCTATTACTTTTTAAGCTATTAGGGATGCACAATATATTGGTACCGTATTGATTATTGGCCAACATTAGCCTTCATTCATACTGATTGATACTGGATATTTAAGACCGCACATCAGCTGGACAGACTTGAAATGTACGTTATTATAATATAAGCAACACTTTTCGTCTAAAAAGGGAGACTCCAACAAATGCATATGCAATAAGGTCAGCCACAAAAATAACTTTGTCCATACCTTTTCATCATTCATTTTTCACTGCATCTTTAATAAATCCTGACAGTAGTTTTTTTAGTGTCAGATTTGCTGATCTGAAATGTTGAATGTTGGTCTTGCATGACCAAAATAGGACTTTGCTTAAAATTGATTTTTAAAAACCCTAATCATTCAATGACACTTGTATCATTTAAAATAATAGATTTTTAGCCATTTATTGTAAATTTATTTAGATAAAAGTACAGTAAAAAAATCATATGTATTAATAAAACTGGTTTTAAAAGTTTTTCCTATTTATTTTCTTAATTTTTTACATTTATGTACTTATATAAAATATAAATTACTATTATATTATATTTTTTTAAATATTTGTACAAAATGTTTTTAAAAACGATAAAACTGAACGATTTATTTATGTTCTTAATATTATTGCAAGCAACTTTTGTATTTATGAATTTTTTTCTCTACATTTTGGCCTTTTGTCTACACTGAGACAGCGTTTTTGTCTTAAGAGGATATACGAGGCTTTTTGCTTTTTGGTGTGGACTTTAAAAACTGAGGCATTTAAAAATGATGATGTATGTTTATTCATGTGACGTATATTGTAAACATATATATATATTGTTTACCAGCATTGTTGTGCCTGCTCACTTTAATAATGTTCCTAAAGATGAATGTTACTCTTCATATTCTGTCATATTCCTGCAAAGATGACAGAATATTTACTCGCAATTGCTGTCCTACCACAAAAAGTTAATGACAGTTTTGCATTTTAGACCATATGGAATGATAATTTTGGATTAATGTGGACTTAGCCTTAAATTTCTTGCCATGTACTGATGTTTAATATGAAGTTCTCTCTGCTCTCATGATCTCCCGGTTGCCTTCTTTTCTTTGACAGGATAAAGAGTGTGTGAGAGTGTTTGAGTTAGTGTGTGTGTGTGTGTGTGTGTGTGTGTGTGTGTTTGGCCAGGTCGCAGCACTCGGTGAGAGCGCGGCTAGTGAATAGAGCAACCACGTAACCCAAGCGCCTCTCCTCTCTTCATGTCTTCCCGCTCTCCTCCTGGATTGGTTTACCTATTTTCTGCCTACAAGTCTTTTGTTACATCAACATAAACGATTATGCAAATATGGTCAATTTTAATGTTATGGTGTCTTTAAAGTCAACATACTGACCCATTATTGCATGTTGCACAGCTCACTGTGCATGATTAATCATTGTGTTATTCCAGAAAAGCAAAAACATTTGTCTAAAAAAATAATGTATTTTATTAATAAAAATGTCAAAAAAATAATAAATAATAATAATAAAATACTACTACTACTATTACTAGTACTAGTACTACTAATAATAATTTAAATTAATATTAACTAATAATACAAATTCAATTTTTAATACATGAATTCTTTTTTTTTTTTACTTTTTTACATTACATTATATATATGCATACATATACATGTCTAAAGAATGTAAATATATAAATAAAATTAATATACTGCTTGAAATATTAATATAATTAAGTATTAGTACATTTAAAATATATATATATATATAATAATAAAAAAAACGATTTTTCTTTTATTGCACAAAAAAGAGCAGCCTGGACACTTTATTAAATATATTTCTGTGTTCCACATCAGATTAAGCAAATTAACTTTCAATTTCAGCGAATTAGCAGTGAGCAGTTTGGACATTTTTAATGACCTTTTTCATAGTCTAAACAGACTTTCATGAAAAAAATCTAATTTACTCACTCTAAAACAACTTTCCTTTTCTGCTGACATCATCAAGGCCGCTTGCTGTATTCCATTTTCATATGTAAAGGCCACTTTTCACAATCCAATCAGTTACCAATGAAAAAAATCAAGTTTCGTCTCACAATTTCATCTCATCAAATACCCAATTTCACTTGGAAATAAATCACATTACACAAGTAAATATTTAAGGAAGACTATAAGGATGTGCTCTCACTCTCTACTCCCCTCTAGTCCTCTAGTGTATGAAGTGAAGACACAGCGGTCTCGGAGGGGATGCGTGGATAAAGAAAGCATGACTTGTTGGAATCTGGTTGGAGGGTGGTTGGGGTCAACAACGTCACTGCCAGCTAAACTTAAAATATTCTCGGTACACAAAACCACACACATTCCAAACCGCACAATGTTCCTGCTGTCCACGTTTTTTTTTTTGCTTTTTTTTTCTTCCCAGGTCTACTTACCCAAGACAGTAGGAGCAGATTGCACTTGAGTGTGCCGCAGTAGCCCACCATAGCCACGATGATTAGAAAACAGCATACGGCGATGACGACAGGATGGACGACGGGGGAGTATGTGAGAACGGCTGCCTCCTCCAGTCTGAGGGAAAGAGAGAGAGGAAGAGTCATTTCTTGGCAGGCCTTTTGTTTATTTATCCGTCCATCCTGCTCACTTGTCTCTTCCTCCTCTCATAGGGCAGCATATTTGAGTAATACACCAGTTGCAAATAAACTGTGATTATACTCTGTAGGAATGCAAGCTCTCTCTCTCTTCCTGTTTCTTGCTGTCTCTACTTCTGTTTGGCTTTCTTTTGCTCCAGTTCTCTAAGATGCAACACTGTTTTTAAGATGCAACGCTACATTTTTAAGGAATTATCTGGGTTCGGTACACATTATGCTCAATCGACAGCTTTTGTGGCATAATGTTGTATACTGCAATTTCAACAAAGTAATTTCCACTTGTCTCTCCTTTTATATAGAAAAGCCAAAAATCTGTTTACGGTGAGACACTTTCAGTGGAACTGAGGCCAATCTGTAAGCATTAAAATACTCTCAATTTCAGTAGTATAGCCACAAGATGCAAACAATGTGCATGTAAATATGATTTTACTGTGAAAAAAATACTACTAGCCTTTTCTGTGTAAACGTATATATCCACTTGCCATGATAATGTAATACTATTAATCCTAAAACGACTGTAAAATTATTTAAACAGATTTACTTTGTTTTAACCGAAGAACGAAGGTGTTTTTAGAACATTAAAAGCTGCATGTCTCTTGTTGTAAAACCTCTGAAAGTGGGTCCTATTCACTTCCATTGTAAGTGTATTACCATAACACCTAGTTTTCATTTTATGATTAAAAAAGTAATGATATAATCAATTAATCATTATTAGTTCACATAAATAGTTGCTGTCGATTGAGCTTAACTTATACTAGTTCATATTATGTTTCATTCTGCAGAGATTGCATGTTTTGTATTTTTGTTAACTTGTAATGTAAAAATAACATTTAATATTAATAAAAAATAATTAAAAATTACCTTAAAAACTATTTTATTTTTACTGAATAAATTAATTAAAATATTTATATCTTAATACTTTTATAAAGTAATTATATTTAAACATTTATTTTTGGCATGCATTTTTCTTATTTAA